AAGAACATCACAGAGCTTATGGAGACTGCCAGTCAGCCAAGGACTACCTTTATCAAATTCAATATGATTATTGGATTTCATATCTCCTTGCAAGATTTTCAAAATGTAGTTTTGTGGCTTCATTATTTGGATCCTTCTTTGATACTGGAAACCAGAGGTGAAATTAGGAAAATATACTGTTCTTAGCTCGTAAAACTACAGATTTAGCTCTCATTTTGTTATTAGATAAGAAAGAATTCATACATATGATGTCAGGTTTCAAATTCAAGCGCGAAGTTTCCTGGGACCAGAAAAGTGGAATAGAACCTCTATTCTGGATAACAGAACTTATTTGTGTGGGGCATCCCTCAGGAACATCATCAAACACAATTTGTTCTGTCTCAACATCATTTGCTACTCTACCTTTCTCATTCACACCACGTTTTAAATATCTACACAACAGAAAAGAAATAAGAAAGTGAGCCACCTCTGACTAAGATCAGCAACAAAAGTAGGTAGAAGAAAAGTTCATCTACCATATGAAGGAAGAAGAAACAGACTATAACTAAAAATAGGCAAAGAAAACATTAAGTAGGTCAAACCATGAAGCATTTGCAATGAAAACTATCATAAAGCAAATTTTTGTAATGATTATGGACCAAAATAAATGGTAAAAGGAGGTTCAAATAATGCGATAGACATTTCAATCAATAGCTGGTAAAGCATCTAAACCTTGTTCCAGCATAATGTCGAGAACGCCTTGCAATGAGAGTTAATTTAATGTCCCTGCCAGATACAGAAAGTTTGACCTGGATACCAAAGTGGGAAAAATGTCAGATAAAATTTTGAGCAACGCCTCAAAGGAAACAACAATATTTGCAAAATGTTCAGCATAATTTGAAAGTATGAACCTGCAATATTTAACAGCTTAAGTTACTTCATTTTAAACATGTTCCACAACTGATCTGTAAATGGGGTAGTTTTCATAATCCTTAAGATTAATTACAATATATCCTTCAATAAAATAGAATAGAAGAAATTACAAATCTGACAGTTGGTCCTAGTATTGATAATCATAGATTCCAGAACTGTTGAACATAGTAATGGGTTCAAGGTTGTCTATATTCCTGTAAAGCAACAATTTTTAAGCAGAAACCAAATACAGAAAACTGAATGAAAATATATTAACTACTTCAACTTAACAATCTCCTTGAAGATACTTCCATTTTCACCTACCATGCAAAATTAATGAACAGGAAGAAGACTAAAGTGTATTATACCTGCTTGAAAAAGCCATATACCAGTGCAACAGTCCACAGAGTATTCTTGAGACTATTCCGGATTCCTCGAGTTAAGAACTCATTCCAGACAAACATTGTTTCATAATGTACTAATCCTGTCTCATTCTTACATAAATTTCTTTGGAGGCTATGCATGATATTGTACGAGTAGCTGAAAAAGAAGTCCTTTGTAAGATCCACTGTGCACAGGAGCTTCTTGTATCTATTACAAAAATGACAAAGAAGAAAGAAAGAAAGAAAAGGTATTCCACGTTAATGAATGTTAGTTACTAGACGAACTTTAAACAATGAAAAACTGTGAACTATAAGTTATAACCAGGAAATTAAAGTGAAAGATAGTAATTCCCCCCCCCAAAAAAAACCCAGATGATACCTTGTCTCATTCAACATGATATGCTAACATCACAAAGCAATGATGTTAGCCCCTGTGCATATGCAGGAAATGAACTGGCAATAGCCTCAATAAATGGTATTAACAAAGAAGATGCTACAATAAACTGGTCAGAGCCAACCTTATTGGCTCAACAGGAAATAAAAAAAGGGGGCGAGGTATGTAAACACAAAAGTGTTTAATTCCAACTGCATCAACCAACACCAATGAATAACATGAAGGGTATACAACAAAAACAGTACAGAGATTACCTCCACTAGAAGGAACTACTCTTCTACTTTAAAAATAAAATCCAGAACTCAAATTATTTCCCACAAAACATAACTAATTGGGAAGAAGATAAAACAACCACAACATAACACAATTCTATTTAAATAAAAATGGACAATTAATACTTTAAGTGCTAATTTCATAGGTTCTCTTATAAATACCAAGGACAAATTACATTTACATGAAGAATTGACAAAAGACCTTTTTTCATTCTTAGAATAAGCCATATTTGACTGGACAGAAGTATTGGGAATTGTTATCATCTCGCTCTTGGTAATGGCATAGATAATGTGGCCACAAATTGCACCAATCTTCCTTCTTTTCGTGATTAGCAGCATGTAATAAGGTCCCAAAAATTTCACAAACCCTAAAGTAACGAGAGATTCATTAGATCATGCCAAAATGATAGACGGAAAAGGTGGAGAACCTAAGAAATATTACATACCAATGATTCCATAGCAAGCTGTAACAAATTTAAGGCCACCTGTGGGCCTGTTTCCTTCATGTATCCGTCTTAAGAGATCAGAGCATTCAATTTCTGAGTATCTAGTGGAATCTTGAAGAATATTAAGTTCAGAAGGTTCTAATCGATCAATCTTTAATACCCTCCAAACAGTTGTGTTCTTGTCTCTTCCAATCATATAAAAATGCTGTTACACAAGGAATATACAAATGTTGCATTAATATTTTTGTAATGGAAATGGACGCCACGTAATTACAGTACAAAGAATTTTTTTGGGAAAGGGCAGAGATTCAAAGCGAAAGGAGCAATAATATTCTTATCAGCATCAAAGAGAAAAACGGAACTATTTCTATGTTGAACAACGAAGGTTTGCCTAGCTTCGAAACACATTAGCAGTCGCTTACAATGACCTCAAGAACAATGAATCGCTTTATGATGTAAAAGAACAGCGTAGCATTTCATAGGAAATGATTGCAGCAAAAGAGAATTGTACAAGCAAACCACGGCTTATAATAACAAGCAAAAAGAAATTAAAGATAGAAGTGAAACTGCATAATTAAACATCCTACTGCAAATTACCAGTTCAATACACTTTCGTAAGCCAAAAAAATTCAAATCAACATACAAATACGATATCAGAGATAAGTAAATCAAGATTTAGCAAATCACAGAGCAGCTATCAGCTAAATCTGAAAATCATCATAAAAACTCAAATTATATACACGAGCAAAAAAAAGATTTGGTTAATAAATCTCCAAAAAGATTAAGCAGCCGAAGGGGTTAAAAAAGCCAAAACAATCAGAAGAGTTTTAGCGTGATGAAGTCAAATAGCTAAAACGAACTCCAACAGCCGTACACACGAAAAAATGAAAGAAAACGAATATCATATAAGAGTGGGAGAGGGAAAATACCGAGCGAGTCTCGTAGAGTCTGAATTTCTGCAAATAACAAGGATTCGGATCGAGTACACCATCACTGTTATTCTTGGCTGCCATTAACTTTTTTAGATCCCGAGCCTCGAAGCTCGGGTTCACTCAAGATACAGATCAACGAAGAACCACGATTTTTTTTTTATAAAAATCTCTCTCGATTTACAAAATTCAATCTATATCATGTACTGATAAAAACACATAAAAATGAGGAAAATAAATAAAGCCACGAATCACAAATTCACGATACAGAGTTCGACCTGAAGAAAAATAGGAAGATAAAAAATAAATTGAAATTAAAAAAATGGTATTAATCTGCGAGAAAACGGCGCGACTTGCTGGAAAGTAGGTATAGATTGAGAAGAAGATGCAGGGAAGAGAAACGTACAGCTAATGGAGAAATGGATACCACAAAAAACAAACTAAAAATAATTAAAAATATATATAGGAAACTATAAATAAATATTTTTTCGAAAATAAAATGATAATAAAAAACAAATTGCGAGGCAGTGGCGTGCTTTAAATTTTAATTAATTTCTGTTTTTCCGCGGTAACTTAGCTTCGGTTATGATTTTGTTTTTCAACTGATCATTGGTTTCACGAGTTATTTATGACTCGGACATGCATAGTCGTTTTGACTCGGTTGAATCGGTAGCGGGAGCGGAATCTAGTGTGTATCTGACTTCGAGTTAAAAAGATTAATCGACTCATAATCAACATGAAAGTTAAATTTCAAAGATTATATTATAATATTTTTCAAAATATTTAATTTAAAACTTATAGATCAATATATCAAATATCATTAATTTTATAAAAATTATTTTTAAAAACAGTTTATTATTTAGTAAAACTCTTGCACTCATTTATTCTAGTTGAATTAAGTTCACAAATAATTATTAGAGTTTAAATTTTAATGTTAATTTGTAAAAAAAAATCATTATTTTATTTAAATTAATTAATTAGTAAATTAAAGTCTGACTATTATAATAAATAAATATATTTAATATTTAATATATAAAATTATTAAAATTCTAACTCTCATTCTTTCCTAGAAAAATCTAGAAAAATCAAATATTAGAGGATAAGGTAATAAATTGGATTATTTAAATAAAATAATAATTTATCTAATTTGAAGTATATATTTTATCATTATCTTTGCACCTGTTGTATTTTAAATCTACAAGTAAGACGTAAGAATCAATAACTTGTATGGGTGTTCTTCTACATTTAAACATATTTTTTTTAAAATACCATATATATATATATATATATACACGGACAATTTTAAGGTAATATTCATCCCAATCATAACAAATTGAATTAAAAGATAAGTTGAATTAATTTAGAATATATAATTTTAGATAAATTTATATTTATTAAAAAAATTAAATTAAATAAATTTGATAAAATCAATATATAATTTAAATGTGAAAAAGAAGAGAACAGTTTAATTCCACGCCGGTTTAGTGTACTCTACTCTTTCCGCGTGATTCTATGAACCCGTCTTTCGGAATACTCAAAAATCACTCGAACTGATTCCGAGCCAACTCAGGTTGATGTGTATATTTATATATTAGTGATTTAATTTTCAAAATTTCCCATTTTCTTTTTATTTTCTTCTTGACGTACGAAATTAATTTTTTACCAGAAAAATATAAAGAAGAAAAATGACGTTTGGTAATCTCATCGTGAGTAAGAATATACTAATATACCTTCGTTGATCAACTTGATACTTTATATTGCATAATATAATATACTTTCTTTTAATTATGGGAATTTACAGACCAGATATCCACGCTGGATTTTTGGTATATGCTTTTTTAAGCTCTTGCAACCCAACCACCGATCATGAGCGAATGGCTCGTGACTGTGCATGAAATTGCGAAAATTATAAGATCCCCTAACATGTGGTTAGCTGTTCCCGGAGAAGTGCGTGGAGGATGATACCTCTAAATTTGTATACTTTTATTAATAATTTATTTTTATATTATTAAAATTTTGTATTTATATACTTTAAAATTTCTAAGTTATTCGTCTACTTTAGGAAATATACATGAGTCGAGTCTAGTTTTTTATCTATTTAAACTCAATCCAAATATTATACTCCTTCATTTGACTAAATATGAATTTAAAGAGATTTGCTTGACTCAATGTTTAGGATAAAAACATATATGACTTGACTCAATCCGACACAAATATATAAATTTTATTTAACAAAACATATATCTAATTAAAAATATAAAGATATTATACAATTATTTCTAAATTTATAAATAATATTTATACTATTATCTCAAGTCATATAAAAAAATCACCTTAAACTCAATCAAATTTGATTTTGTTCTTAAAAAAATTTGATATGAACCTAATTTTTAAAAAGAAGATAACCTATTATATTAAATCATATCAAAACTCATCATATTCGAATCTCATAGAAATTATATAATTCTAGAGAAGGGCTCTTGCCTCTCTCAAATTCTTTTGTCAAATGACACTTTAACTTTATATTAATTTAAACATCGAATAAACTATACATAATTTCCTTTAATTTTTAGATTTAAATTTTCTTTAAATGTATATTCTTTTAAATATAAACAAATTAATCATTATCGATATTTAACCATAGTTTCGTCACCACTTTTGCAACCACATCTTTTATTTTCTTCAGAAAAGACAATCCTTGTTTTCATTAGAAAATAAATTTCATATCATGTATTTAAATTTATTATATATAACGAAATTATCTGCGAAAAAAAATAATGAATATTGGACGATTGATGGCCAACTCAACGTGGCAAAGATCTCCGTCGTAGTTGGAGACAGCTGGCAGGATGACGTGGCAAAACGTGGGTGTTGCGACACCCGGGCACGTGAAATGTGTGTGGGTTTATTTCCAGCATTTTCCCAATTTGCGGCCTTGAGCATACGGTGACGCCACGTGTCTGAAACGTGATTGGTTAGTAGTCCAAAAGTAGATTACTACAAGGATGTGTTTGGTTGAGGGAATGGGAGATTCCTATGAGAATAAAATCCACATTTTTCCATTTGGTTGGCTGAAAATGTCATTCCCGATAATCTTACATTACCAATAGTCGATTTTTTTGGTATATTATCGGGAATGTCATTACCTCCCTTTTATTAAGTATTGTTGGATTACCAACGTTTTGGACTAAAATGCCTTTATTTTTTTTTTCTAAAAATATCCTTATTTTATCATTGAATAATAAAAATTTTATGAATGTTGGACTAAAATACCCTTAAATTTTTTTTTCAAAAATATACTTATTTTGTCATTGAATAATAAAAATTATATAAATGTTAAATTATAAATTTATCCTTAAACTATTTTAAATTTACAAAAAAATTATAATTAAAATTTTATATGAAATTAAGGGGTTAAAATAAAATTTTATCTTTTCATTAAACATTTTTATATTTTTAATTTTATAAAAAATTATATAAATTTTATGAATTTAATTTTTTTTTAAAAATATATAACTATTTTTTAACTTGTTAAAAAACAAATATATAATAAGGACAATTTGGTCAAATATACATTCCAATAATCTTTTATTCCTTTAACCAAACACGGTAATCTTATATTCCTGCTAAACCAACTAAACACAAAATACAACATTCTCAGTAATCATATTCCCTAATAATTTTACATTCTATCAACCAAACGTTATCCAAAATTCCGAATGAGCATGTGTTTGGTCGTGATGCTCTCGAGGGTGTTCCAAGCCGCCAGCACTGCAAAACTCGCTTTTAGTTTAAGGTATAATTTAGCTTCCAGTTCCTATACTTTTGACACATTATAATTTAATCATTAAACTGTTAATGCAAGCAATTTAATCATATACTTTTAAAAACTACATTAAATGTCAGAGTTGTGTTATAGGTGATAGGGTGCTTACCCCTTAATTTTGTATAATATATATATATATATAATTTTAAATTAGTTAGAATATTAGTCTCAACATTCATACAATGTATGTGGGATTTTATATAACAAAATTGACATGTTTTTCATATTTTGATTAAATCAAACTAGTGGACAGAACAGTAAGAATTGAGATAAGGAAGCGAGCGAGTAGTTTACTAACTTTGGACTATGCAAATTGCATCAGTATTAGACAAACTTGTAGTCTTCCGGAGAGAGAAATTCTGAGGTCGTAGCAATAATTGAGGAAAAGCTAGAAAATAAAATAAATCAATATAATACGGAAACCTAACGCTGGGGAATTTGTCAACAATTGCTAATCATTCTAAGTTTAATTTAGTGTTAAATTTAAATTTTATTATATAATAAATTATATTCACATATAATTTAATTATCAAATTGAATATGAATTAGTGTGCGTACAAAAGGTATTAGATATAAAAAAAATTCATCAAATGGATTTAATAATAAATAAATATATCATATTTTAATAAAAAAAATTAAATCTGATAAACAGTTATAAAATTTGTATGTATTACTAATTATTAAAAAAGTTCTTTAAAATACATTAAAAAAAATTTGGTGTGAAAATTTTGGTGCTCATAAGCCGACTCTAATCATTGCTGAGATGCAATGATTATTGGTGGCTCACTCTTGTCGTATTAGTCAATGCTTATAAGGTAAAAGCTACAACTAAGGATTATTTAATGTTTTACACACAACGCTTACTGACTTCATGTCTTTGCTTTCACTCTCCAGCCTTCACGCGTAATTACCGTATTAACCAACACGAATGATTTTTTCCCCCATTTGATCCACATATGTCCTACGTAAATGCAAATATTATTTTTTTAAAAGTTTATAAGTTCAAACAATTCATTAAGTTTAACTTTAAATTTATATTGATGGAACCATTTCAATAATTAAAAAAGGATGTTCTTATTAAAAGTTTTGAATTAGAACAATTGCATCTATATGATACATGTATTATTAGAAAATTATTTTTTAAAATATATATTATATTATAATTAATTTATACAATACAATAATCAGTGATTAATAATTTATTGATTAAATTAGAAAAATAATAATAATTGGTGAATAATGGTATAGTTTTCCCGAAATTTTATTTGAAGTGCATAGAGCAATGGATAAATTCCATTGGCTGACTGGATATCTCATGGACTGCTATCTGATTCTCACTGCCATCTGTATATAATCAAAGGACGGCTAAGATTCGTTCTCACAATGCCGCTTAAAAGAACGAATCCTATTGATCACCAACGGATTAGTACTTCAAACAACTAAGAGCCATCGATAATCCCTCAAATATACGGTTCGTATTGGCCTGATTTAAAACATTTGCTTGATAATTTATTCCCTCTTCTCCCATATATATCTCCCCTCAATTCAACCGGCGGCACGGCTCCACGTAAGCAGCTAGCCACAAAGGCCGCTAGGAAGTCAGCTCCGGCGACCGGAGGTGTGAAGAAACCTCACCGTTTCAGGCCGGGAACCGTGGCACTCAGGGAAAACAGGAAGTACCAAAAGAGCACTGAGCTCTTTATTCGAAAGCTTCCATTCCAGAGGCTTGTGAGAGAAATCGCTCAGGATTTCAAGACCGACTTGAGGTTCCAAAGCAGCGCCGTGGCCGCTCTTCAAGAAGCTGCCGAGGCTTATCTCGTCGGGTTGTTTGAGGATACTAACTTATGTGCTATTCATGCTAAGAGGGTTACGATTATGCCTAAGGATATTGAGCTTGCTAGGAGGATTAGAGGCGAGAGAGCTTAGATTGGTTTGTTTTTAGTCCACTGATGTTTAGAATTATATATCCAAGTTTTTTTTTTCCCATTTTGCGTGTATTTGCTTTCTCTGCTAATTATTAATGCAATTCAATGTAATGGCATGATGTTAGCATGAAATTTGCTTAATGAAATCCGAAAACTTCGTTCACTTTCTGACATCCAACGTTGTGGGAATTGCTTGTATGGTTCCACATTTGATTATTTAAAAAGTTTTCCATTCACTTATTGAAGTTTATTTTCCTCTGAAACAAACATATATTTGTTTCCATGAGCCATTTGGTATCATGAATACTCAGAATGAAGAAAGAGGTGTTTGCCTGCAATTATTAATCCGAGGAAGAACAAGTCACGAAATCACCTCTTTTGCTGGGAATATTGTTGATGTGAGCAAGTTCTTATTGATTTACAGATGTAAGGTTTGAGATGGTTGAGATTGAGTCCTACGGAGGATAAATTTTGATGGTTAAAAGCAGATGTGGGGCTCGAGGCTGCACAACTTGAGCAACGGAATAGGCCCCGAAATAGCAAATGTCCCAAATAAAATAGATTTATTACAATAAGAATCTTATTTTTTTTTTGTCTAACTTCACTTTACGATAAATGAGTTCATTTTCATGATTTCTCTATCCCACACCATAGGATTTGAGTTAGTAATATCACCAATATCCCTATATATATTGCATTCAAGCATTGCAATATTTAAAAAAATTGAGATTTAAGGGTCTCTTTTTAAGAATTTACACAATTTCTCCAACGTCCTAATCCCGACCCTGATTAAAAGGGTGATAAAATGGCTTTTCGCCGTTGCTAGGGCGAAGAATAGCTAAAGATGGGTCTGTTTTATCATTTTCATCACAATTCAGCACCAAGTTCCCTGATTTACTTTGTTAAGCATGAAACTTTTGCATGAAAGCACATAATAATCCGAGGAAATTGAGCTGAAATTATTACACAACAGGAAGATGATAGAAAACAGGATGAAATGATGGCAATGAATTGTTCAAAGTTTGTGGGATGATTATGAAACTTTCGAGTATGATGGATGATGTGTTTAGCGATAACGACAAAAGAAAGAATATTATAGGGTGATGGTACAAGAGAATGAACACCAATTTCTAATAATACTGTAAAATATTTTTATTGAGGATGAAGACTTTAACGTGTCATGGACCAGATATATTATTTAGGTTAATTGAATTATAAGCGTAAATAAATAAAATAAATTTATTATGTTGTGATAATTATTATATTACAAGTAACTTTATTCCAATTGATGTAATTGTGAAATAGACGTTATCCTCAAGGTTAATATAATGTTTATAAATTCGTACATTTGAATGAGGAAGATAGACGATGATCGACATATTATTTTTTTTAAAGAAGAAGAATTACAAAAAAAGTTAAAAAGGAATAAAAGAGCAGATAAATGAATGTAGAAAGTAAAATAAATATTTTTAAGATAAAAGACATAAAATTTCTTATTAAAGGATATATCTGGCAAAACTTTCGAGATAATGTTATGGAAAAAATTAATTCACGAGATAAAGCACTCCAAAGATTAATTGCTCAAATAAGGTGAAATCCACAGTGTTGGCCGTAGGTCGCCATGCCTTCCGGACGACCTACTAGATGCGACCTACTAGGTCGCCATGTCTTCCCGGTGAGCTACAAGAGATTGCATGTGCCATGCACGTCCCAACACGTTGGGCATCTGAGGCCATCCGAGAGCATCCGAGGCCATCCGAACGAGCTATGCGAGGGCAACCGAGCGAGCTATGCGAGGGAATCTGAGGGAAGCCGAGTGAGGGTAGGTCGCCCGGAGTGCATGGCGACCTATGTGTTGGGACGTGCATGTGCCATGCAACACTTTCATTCTCTCTGTTTGAGCAAGGGTAGGTCGCCCGGAGTGCATGGCGACTTACAAGGTCGCCCGGAGTGCATGGCGACCTACAAGGTCGTCCGGAGTGCATGGCGACCTACGGCTAACACTGTGGATTTCACTCTATTTGAGCAATTAATCTTGGGAGTGCATTAGCTCGTGAATTAATTTCTTTCAAAACATTATCTCGAAAGTTTTGCCGATAGATCTTCGATATTTATATTAAATTTTTTTATGAATATAAAATTATAAAATTTTAAAGGATAAAATATTAAATTATCAATGAAAAATAAAAAATAAAAAAATTTTATATATAATCTAAATCAATGCCAAAAACAGAATCTACACCAGTGCCGCATAAAAAACGGAACGTATTGGTCAGTTTTCGTCGCACTTGGATTATGAAATCAACAACATATCAACCGTTGATAACCTTTCCAATATACGGTTTATATTGGGCTTGTTTAAAATATTTCCTTTAACTTCTAATTCCCGCTCCTCGCAAATCCCCCTTATATTTTCCCTCCAAACACTCACAATTGTTCCAAAAATTTTAAAGAGTATAAATTTAAATTATCAACACTTTTTGGCGATTCAAACATTATTTGTTTTCTTTTTCAAGCTCTTTACACATTGCTCGTACCAAGCAAACAGCTAGGAAATCAACCGGCGGCAAGGCTACACGTAAGCTGCGAGGAAGTCATTCTAGCCACCGGAGGAGTGAAGAAGCCTCACCGTTTCAGGCCGGGAACCGTTGCTCTTAGGGAAATCAGGAAGTACCAAAAGAGCACTGAGCTCTTGATTCGAAAGCTTCCCTTCCAGAGGCTGGTGGGGGAAATCGCTCAAGATTTCAGGACAGATTTGAGGTTCCAAAGCAGCGCCGTGGCCGCTCTTCAAGAAGCTGCCGAGGCCTATCTCGTCGGACTGTTTGAGGATACTAACTTATGTGCCATTCATGCGAAGAGGGTTACCATTATGCCTAAGGATATTCAGCTTGCTAGGAGGATTAGAGGTGAGAGAGCTTAGGTTGGATTGTTTGTCACTAGTCTTATTTCTAGAATTAGAGATCTAAGCTTTTGTTCATTTCGCTGTATTTGCTTTCTCTGAAAATGTTTGATGTAAACCGATCGAGTTTTAATGGATTTGTATTTTCGTGATGTTTCCATGAAATTGTTTGCCCTCGTTATGAAAATTGTTTTTTCCATTCCACATTTGGTTTTGAAACCATAAAGCGTTCATTTATTTTCTCGGGAAACTATCATAGCCATATACGTTTATTTCTATTTGCATGTGAAAAATCCATTTCCCAGCTATGTAAAGAAACAGAGACTAATCTGTGACTGCAATGTTAGACTTCATTCTAACTAAGCTGAAGAAACAGAGACTAATTTTATATTTTAGTAACAATAATATTAAAAATACATTTTAGAAAAATAGAAATGAAGTCAATAGTATTAGAGAATGTGTTGTTATTGGAAGTTTGAAGAAAAAAGAAACGGAGCGGGCTTAGTTTTGCTATCATTGACGTAATCCAGCAAGTCATACCGTACAAGGAGTTGTTGATTTCCCAGAAAACACTGAACTATACACAACACACGTTAAAGTAATCCACCAATAATTGGGACCCCAAACACAATCAATTATTGAGTTTTCTTATACCAGACCCCTCTAAAGATTTTGCTGCCACTGGTGGGTTGATTTTTGCACACACACAATCCCCATATCCCCCTTTATATATATAAAAAATATATATTTTGATTTCATTTCAATCGTCATTTCTCTCACTGCTTTAGCACCGTGGGTTGCGGGTTGCCAATCCCCATTCAAACTCCACAATGGTGGGTTATCTCACTCGTTTTTTTTTTCTTGGTTTTTCTAGGATAAACTACCTGTTTAGTATCTCAATTATTGTTTTATTTTTGTTTTGATCTCTTAATTATTATTTTTTCATAAATTATATTTACAGTTACATTCTAATTTCATTTTAATCATCCAACGTTAAAAAATTAACAGCTGACATAATATTTTTTTTTTAATTTTCCGATTATAATATGATATTTTTCTTATGGTGACACGTAAACATCGCCGTTAATTTTTGAAGGAAAATGACTATAATGAAACCAAGACATAACAAAAAGTGTGATTTTAGAATAAAAAATAATTAAGCGACTAAAACCGAATAAAATTGCAAGTTGGTGTACTAAAAGTGAATTTACCCTTTTTCATAAACACCCATTATTTAATGAAATGATTGGTCAATTCAGATTTAAAATACAATAATAGAAACAATAGTTTTATTTTATTAATTAAATATTTATGAGTTCGACGCCCACCATCACCGCGGTATATCACTTGATCATTACCGAACAAATCTCATAATAGAAGGTACGAGTATGACCACTTCCCCTTGCCGACAATTAATTTTGCCATTCTCCACACTCGTCACCTGCAAGCTGCAAAACATTGCACAGAGCACAGAGCACAGAGCAGAGCAGAAGATTGCTGATTCTTTTTTACTATAATTTTCTGAATGCTGAGGGATATAACTTCACGTGGCTCTGCCCTGTGCTACCACACCAACTCCCACTGAGCCCATCTCTGCCTATACATATTATACGCGGCAGTATAATATGCAAATACCATCAGATAAGACTGCCCTCTCATTGCCAACGAAATGTTTACTTAATGCTCTAACTATTGTTTAAGTCCTCTTACCATGTTAAATGAAAGATTTAATCCAAAAAACCAATTTAAATCTGAGTACTGCATAGAATTGAACCATACAACTCGCAACAGATTCATCATAGTTAGCTAAATCTTCAAATGACATTTACTTTGTGAAAATAACATATAAAACCTGTTTTATGATTTTAACAACAACAATATAATAAAAAGATGTAAATTTCAAGAGAATAAATCATGATTATTAGACGGATGATATAGAACTGAAATGGTAAGGGAGAAACAGAGCAAAGTTTAAACATTCATATGTTCTCAGTATTTTCATCATAGAAACTCGCATAAACCACTTATACAGTAGTCAAAATACAAGTTTTCGAGTCCAAAAGTCTACAAAATAGACATAAAAACAGAAAACATACTTAAATAAACCTCTGAAAGCACTGCAGACGAGGGCGCTTTAAGCATGCAATGAAGCTTGCTTTTGCTTCAACATCACAACACAGTTTTGACCAAATTCCTGAGAAAAGTAAAACAACAAAACAGAAGCACAATATACAAATAAATCAACAATTTTCTCCCAAAATAGACAGAATAAAGCAAGCTGCCAGAAGGGTTTCTGAAAACTCACTAACATGTTGCTTTATTTACAAAAACTAGAATGTAGGCCAAAGATTTTACTCAGAGAGCGGCCCCCGGAATGGAAGAGAAGTCATCAAAGCTCCAGAAATCCATCGGGTTTTCACCATCCTGAGTTGCCTCTCCGTTGAGGAAGGCATCGATCGAGGCATCCCAGTTCCCGTCTAGGAGTGGCGGAATTTGGAAGTACTTCATCGGATTGTCCAAAGCCAATAGCTCATCAGATAAACTCTTTGCCGAATTGTCTTCAGTAAGCATAACATTATCAGAATTTGGTTTCAGCCTCTTATTAGGGTTTGCATCCTCCAAGAACTCATCACCCACTATAGTAGCTTCAAGAATGGATGATATTTCAGGAGTTTTAGAACCCTGTTCACCCCAGCCATAATCGGAACAGTCAATGGAGTTACTTCCCTGGTCAGAATTGAAATACACATGGGTATTATCAGATTGATTAAACGGTTTATATCCAGTATCTATAGATGTAGGAACAGGGTCCACACTTGCAAACTGATTCATCAGTGGCTTCTCTTCTACAAAACTCATGGTATCAAAGTATTCCTGCTCAGGATTGTTCAGGTAATTGAAATTCTGATTCAGATTAGGCTGAACAGGGCTCAAGTTTGACTTGGAGACTGGTTTCTGAGAATTAGTCTTCGCTGCGCATTTCGGAGAGGCACGCGGAGTCTCTTCAGGGAAGTTCACCTTAGCTTTCTTACCTCGAATTATCCGTGCCTCTGCGTCATAAGCTCTCGCAGCTTCTTCAGCAGTATTGAAAGTTCCTAACCAGACCCTTACCCCTTTCCTTGGGTCTCGGATCTCAGCCGCCCATTTACCCCATGGACGCTGTCGAATCCCACGATACTGATTCTTCCTCTTTCTTTTCACACATTTCTCAGCTTGACCGTTAAACTGTACGGATGTTCCAGAGCTCGAATCTTCAATGATTGCAAAGGAAAATTTTAGTAATCATACAGATACATGAACCGTAAGTAAATTATACTAATCCATTAAAAGGGAAAAAATTAGGATCTTAATCATGAGAAAAACATCTTTAACGACTACATAGGGAAATTATTCCTCAGACGCGTTACGTCTCGAATAAAATTTCTTCCCAATCCATTAAAAGGAAAAAAATATTTATCCTTTCGAATATAGGAAACATCATATATCCTATACATAACAAGATTTCAAGCAACAGTACACAAAAGGAAAGTAGAAAAACAAGAATCCATACAGATTAGTCTGATAGAAACAACTAAAATTTTCCTTTTTAATATTGAGTAAAAGCAAAAGTTTATTTTAACACTATTAGATAAACAATAGAAAAAGTTGAATTTTAATACATATTTTTTTTTGAACAAACTGCAACAAAGATTTCAATATAAATTAAAATTTAATTTTAGCAAGATCCCAAATAACCAAAAATGCAGAATTCTATGAAGCTTTGAATTGCTAAGATTTTATGATCAAAAATTGAGTGTTTTCCCTTTCAGGCTATTTTTCATCTTAAGTTCAAATCTTAAAGGGTAGAAAGGGAAATAACCAACTTTCTAACATAGACAAAGCAAAGAACTACAGCAGGGTAGAAAAGGAAAAGCTTTTATACATGGCCAGATGAACATCTAGAACAAGCTCAAGCTTTTTAACAAAAAAAAATACTATTCAATGTACGTGTTCTATTATACCAAATAACCAAACAAGCAATAAAAATTCAATAACAATATTTTTTTTAAATAAAAAATACATATCACTAACAATTAATCAATGATCTAACCCGATCAAACCTCAAAAAAAATGTAAACAAAAAAGGAGAATTAACAGCAAAGCAAGAGTAAACTTTTTACCAAAAAATACATGTTCTTTTCCAGAAAATAAAATAAAAAATCTCAAAAAATTAACCAAAGAAGAAATTATTATTCTTTACCATGTGAGGCAGTAGGAGATGATTTCTTTGTAGCAGAAAAAGCAAAGGGCTTGATATCAGCCAAAGCATCATCTACATCAGATTCTTCATCCTTAAACTCCTGAAAGTCAGTCTCGAAATCAACGTCCAAATCGATCACCGTCTTCGAGTAGCTTTTCCTGGAACCCTTCTTAAACGAAGATTTTTTCAGATCAGGCCACAAGAAATCAGCCGTCAGGCGTCGCGACGACGGTGCCGGCGGTATGAAATCGGAGATAATAGCACCGCCACACATGGTGGTGTTTGATCAGAGTGACGAACACTTGGGAATACAGATTCTGAGAAAATTTGAGCGTACAAATGATTGACAAATTGCTAACAGAGCTAGAGAAGACGGATTCCTTCAACTTTTGTTGTTTGGTTGTTGGATAGACGAATGAAAAAATAGTTTTTCTTAGGGTATTAACGGGCTAATAATGTGCGTTTTATATTGCTTTCGGAGGAAATTACGCAAACATCATTATTACCATTTCACCCTCGTTTGATCAATGAAATTACATATATATTTTATGCATATAGCTTTCTTTTCTAGCCTTACAGTTACATGTAAAGTATAAACTGGAAATGAGAATATTAAATTAGTGAAATGGTGTAGTTGAAAAAAGATTAAGAAAATAGGTTGACTGTTATAATAATAAATAAATTTGTCAGTAAATAAAAATATTTTCATAAAATTGCTGACAGATAAGAATAATTTTATTAAAATCATCAATTTATATTATTTTCTCTTCTTATATTTTAA